CATGGTGTCTAAAAATCGCAAATACTGTAACGGATGTCCATATAAGGACCAACAAAGTGAGGTTAAGTTTGTATCGCCAAATTACAACTGAAAAAAAAATGGTATTTTTCGTATTCAAAGGATTAAGCTCTTATTGGCTCCCAGCAATATTGACCATTGTTCAGATGGGTTCTTTTTTTATACATCACTTAACCCAGTTACACCCTAACATTGATATGCATATTCTCCATACTGTTCTCTATACATTTCCAAAGGTGCTGTCAAGGAGAATTTGTTATCAATTTAGACCTTCTTTAGTTGGTGATCACTGTCTTTATTCTCCTGACCTTAATGTTTGATTCAGGGGTGACATTGTAAGGAGAAATTAGGTGCTAGTCACTCTTAGGGAGCACAGGTTTAATCGAAATCCACTAAAATTAAATGAAGTCACATAAAGAACACTCAGTATAATTTACGGAACAGTGACTTCGAACTGCCAAGATTTGAAACTGTAAGATTTGGTAGGAATTCTATTAAATATATGGGACCTCTCATCTGGTCGAAGTTACCAAGACACCTGAGAACGATAGAAACTCTAAATTCGTTCAAGAAGAACATAAGAAAAGTCGACCTTTCAACTCTCGTTGAATTTAAAACTTAACTAAATAACTTAATAATCTTTTTCATTATCTACTGTAAATAACTATTATCTGCATATGTAGATGTATTTAAAGACTAGCAAAAACCAACGATAAAAACCGACGTTTCGGTGTCGTCATGACGCCATTGTCAAGGAGAAATAAAAAATAAAGTTTGTGGCAAGGTGTAACACTAAATTAGCATAAATATGTTACGAGCTAATTAAACAAATACTTTTGCGCGAATTGAATCGCCTAAGTGTATCGACTGCCTAGGTCTCCATGGTGAGGTGGAAAGTCTTTGCCGTTTGATATTTGACGATAGGCTGAATGTCTGTGGTTACATAGTGCCAACGAGCAGTTTTCTTGCGGCCTCCTCGCGCGATATCTCGCGTGGTTGACAGAAGAAAGAAGATCATCAAGGCCATTTTCCGTGGCAAAAATACGCGTATAACTTGAATCTCTTTACGTGTAGCTATAGCGATAGCGCTCCGATAACGAGTTTAAGTCTTTGTCGCTGAACAAGGTTGGTGCCATCAATTCGGTACTTGCAGATGACTGATTTGAAGATGAACTTGATTGGCCATGGTTGCTTCCAACTTGGCTTGCCAAATATTCCATCAACGCATTTTTGGGAGAGATTTGGAGTGCTGAAGAGCGCCCTTTTTCGCAGTTCTGAAACTGAAACACTAAAGGGATGTACTTTGGACCTTGAACAGTCCCACTCGCTCCACAAAATTGATCAAAGAAAGATATTTTGCCTCGCCTTCCTGGCTCGTATGAGACATCATTCAAACTTTGGCGTGGAGAGTATTTTCGAATCTTGGTGATACCTTGTTGACTTGCAGAGCAGTTGCACCGATTTCCTCGCGCCCGCCAAGATCCCAATCTTCTGTTGAGAAGAAATTCATCTAGTCAAGGAAAGTGCTCTGAATGAGAATCATCATATTCTTCTTTGCTCTTCACGTTTTCCAGCCCTTTTTTTAAAATTGCGTACTTTATTCATAGGGCCATCTTGAAACGGCGAAGATATTATTACAGCATTCTGACGAGAATTCCAATCATATTGGGATACGCGCAACCAGTCATGAGCACTACCACGACTGTTGACATGATCGATCTGGCATTTTTTCATGATTGGTGCCAGTGGAGGCTAAGAATAAGTACCTTTCGCTCTACAACCAGGTGAACATGTAAGGAAATAAATACGGTTTGGTTAGGTTCATGGTTCTAATTTTCCCTACGATCTTTCATTTAGTTGAAAATCTTGTTAATTTAATCACATGACTACTGATGTGATATATACGTCATACTTGTAATATGACGCAATACTGACGTCGTGTTTACGTAATACTTCTCTATTTCATGAAATTTTACTGTAGCAAACTATGATTTGACTACGCAACGCTTCAGGGCACACTTGACCGACAACGTGCAGTGATTTAGGCACACGTTTGAATTCGGAGAATAGGGAAGGGAGGGGGGAGTAGGGGAAGAAGGATGGACCCGAGAAAAGTATGAAAACCCGAGAAAATTATTATTTGGGGCAAACTGTAAGAAAATTCATGACATGCACGTACTATTTCCATAAAATTGAACTTTTTGCATTAAATCATTGGACCACTGACGATATACTTACATAATACTATCGTAATACTTCCCTATTATATAATATCTTACTTTGGAAAACTATGATCTGATTACACAATGTTCCAAGGCACACGTGCTGGGGCACGTGGCAAATTTGGAGATATCTGTGCGACAGAGAACGACTCTTTCTCTAATTAGTGCGAATTTTAATTGGGTGTTTTGAAACCGAAAAGAAGACAGTTCAGGACCGTGCCTGTAGAAGGCGCCAATGACTATGCAAGCATCTTATCAAGTGTTATCAAAATCCAACTAAAAGAATTGAGGGTAGCCACGCAATATTCCTCGATAATGTGGTTTTCTCGAGTGAGTTGATAAAGAAGACTGCCCATCGTAAAGGTTTCAAAAGCTACAGGAGCTCCATGAGTGAGGCGTTCGTAAAGTGTGGACTATGAACTAAGCCTAAGAGTTTGAATTATGCGATGCGCTCGCAACGCAAAAATATGATTGGTTATCGGCCGGAATCTGTCAACAAGCGATCGTACGTGTCACCGCTTCACACCACTGATGTTCTGCAGGAATGTTTACTGCAGTTTCCGACAATTCGTTTGCTGAAAATCGGAGCAGACTGAGGAGTGAGAAGCTCTTATTGCAGGCAAAGAAGTTCTCGCAATTTTGCCAACCGACTTCGGAAAGAGCGTTATGTACCAGGTGTTTTGTTTCGCAAAAACCTCTGAAGTTTGTGCCCTTATAATTTCACCGCTTAACAGCATTGCGGTGGAACAAGTCGGCTAACTAAACGAAGCTGGTCTTGCAGCAGTTCAGTAATCAGAAATGGACGAATGAATGCTATCTATGAAGATAAATTTTATGTGCTTGAATGGTCACTGACTTAAAGAGCTCCTAGCAGTTAAACAAATTCTCCTCATCCACGCCTTTGGAAATGCATAGAGACTATTATGGAGAATATGCAGATGTTAGGATGGAAAGGGTTAAACATGAGCACGTCTCCAGTTTTTCCTATTAAAAAAAAAATTGATCAAGAGAGCAAACACCAGCATCAGAGAAAAAACATCAGTGAAAAAACTTTAAAGGTCACCAATCTGAACACGATTCAAAGTAAATGTACTCGACTGGTTGTCCTCTAAACGGTAGATACAAGAAACTCATAAAAAGGGAAGAGGTTTGGCTGGATCAGCTGTTTAAACAAGCTAACACCAGAGAAGTAATTCAATCCTGTCTGTCTGTTATTGACGAAAGAACTTGTCATGATGGTCATTTCAGTCTAGTGACAAGCTCTATAGTGAGCAAATTACGTCTTGTGATTAGAGTAAAAATGTGTTCTTTGTTTTTTGTTTTTTTTTTTGTAGGGGTTGAAAAACTTTATATTGCATTTTTTGCAGAAAGATTATCGATTTTTCACAAAAATTGCGTGTTGCATCAAAAAATTTCTCCTACTTGATGCAACATGTCATAAATTTTTCTTCAAAGTGAAATTAAAGCCGTCAATTTTATTCGGACTGCTGTCAATTATTGAACCAATCATCTGCCAAGGGTAAAAATGAGGATAAATTAATTGACATAAGGATAGGAAGTGAGCCAAACATTAGCGAACGAGAGGCTTATGACTTGAAGAAGCTTTGGGAGCTTCTTCAATCTTGAAACCAGCCTATACGTGAGAGAGCTTCATGGCGAAATTGTGATCATTTGCGCTTTTATCGACGTTCAAAACTACCACCAGCATAGACATGGCTTCAAAATATTTCTTCGCTGCGAAGAAGAACAAAAGGTGAAGAAGTTATCAGCAAAGAAGGAAAAATTTTGGTTTGGAACATAGAAATTTAAAATGGATTACAGGTACCGGTGATACGTTAGTGAATACAATACAGAGATGGCCAATGATGACGATCACATTTTAAATTTCTGCTTTCATTTACCAGATCCTATCTTTCAAATGGCGTCTCATCGCTACCTGAGCAATTTGATCACTGGAGTTATCAACGCCATCTTTGCACCGTTTGCTGTAATTGCAAACCTTGTGGTGTTTGTAGCAATCTTGCGGAGTCCGACCCTTCGTTGTACACCGTCCTGTATGTTGATGGCTTGTTTGGCCTTATCAGACTTTTTAGTCAGTGTAATCGTCCAGCCGGCGTACCTAGCTTATCGACTGAGCGAAAACCAACACGGTTATGTAAACTGTGGAATAAGACTCCTTTATGCAAATGGTTTTTATATCTGCTACGGAGTCTCGTTCATGTCCTTAAGCGCAATAAGCTTTGAGAGATATCTCGCTTTAAGGCTTCACCTTCGCTACAAATGTCTGGTAACTGTGCGTCGAGTATTGATTGTCGCAGTCTTGATATGGTTTCTAAACGTGGCTCTAACATCTCTTCAGTGGGCTCGCATTAACAAAATCGCACGAGGCGCGAGTTTGCTTTTCTGGTTCATGTCTCTTTTTATCGCTGGGATATCTCATTTTGGAATCCATTGGATCGTGCGCCGCCATTGTCGGCATATCGAGCGTCATCAGAGGTTATCATCGGGAAATCAAAACTTTCGAATCCAGGTCAAGCTTGCAGTTAGCGTTGCCTACATCGTGGGGATCTATTTCCTCTTTAACTTGCCAGTATTGGTTGTTACCACTTATCACCAAATTGGGACTGGGCACATTGACTCGTATGATTACTACAGCTGGAGTGAGACTGCGGCCTTCTTGAACTCCTTCATAAATCCCATGGTTTGTTGTTGGAGGAGAGAGGACATTAGGAAAGCCATCAAAAAAGTACTACCAGCAAGATTTATGTAAGCAGTGTATTGGAGGGAATTTAGAACTGTTGATATATATAGGCTATTACAGCTGGAGTGAGACTGCGACCATTATTAACTCTTTCATAACTCCCACGGTTGTTGTATGATGATGATGATGACTTTATTCAAACTCGGATGAAAATGAGGCTTGTAAGGCCTCTAGCAATAGAGATGCTAATATACCGAGAAAAATGTATGAATATAAATTACAGAGTTTAAAAATAATATAAGCCTAAATATAAATGATGATATAAATGATGGTGATATAAAATTACAAATTACTTAGATTTCTTATCTCATTCCTGAAAGGGCCAAATTCAGCCATTAATCTTAGCTTATCAGGTAATGCATTCCAAGCCTTAGCAGCAATGTAAGAAGTTGATTTGAGGCCGAAAGTTGTGGTCTTAGCTACAGGTAAAACAAGTTTGTTTTTGCCCCTAAGATTTTTCTTATTTTCTCTTACTTGAAATAAAGATTGAATATACTGAGGCATATTGTTATAGAGGGCTTTAAAAATGATTAAAAGCATATCTTGTTTCCGTCTACAACTTAATGAGTAACCAATCTTATAACATAGACTATCA